GAATGTTGATTGACTGATTTTGTGCAGGTGCTGTGCACATACCCACCGCTGCTCTCAGCTCAAGTGCAGTGTGGGTCTGTCATGTCAAGAAGACAGTTTTGTTTCAATCTTCCCCTAAGCCTTGGGAAAGGAGTGTGATATGAAGTCCCATTTGTGGCTGAACCTGCCACTGACACTTACACTTTGTATTTTGCCAAGCTGTAAGTTTCTTCCTTAACCACTACCCACTGCACAATCTTTTGGATAAAGACTGAGGGCTTTGAGGGCAGGTTGATACTGTGTCTGTTTAGCAGAGTAATAGCAGTAGGCTTACCCTTGGGGCTTTTTGAGTGATCCAACCCTGGGTTTGTGGCTGGATTTACAGTTCCAGTGAATGCAGTTTTAACCATGTTTAATTGAGATTTCTTTGGGACACGTGTGAGTGGATGACTAATTGACAGTCAAACCGAGGCCACTTAGAAGCAAAGTCAAAACCACTAGCACATGAATGATAATATAAATAATGTGATTATGTCGAGAGCTATGCTGTTTCACACAGTGCTGTCTGATGCACATGTATTGCATGAATTAGAAGTAAAATTCAAAATTCAGCCATCCATTTCAGTAATCCGTTTTCAAGAGCTCACTAGCTAGATGTGTCCATACTGGACGGTCCAGCTATAGAGCTTGCACAAGATCCCAGAAAATTTGGGACAGTGCTGTATAGAATGAGAAAATAATTTGTGTTAGTTCAAAGAATTCTGTCTGTTTCTTTAAAGTCACATATAGGAGGAGCCACTTCAAAAAGCAGTAACAACTAATATCCATAGTAGACAAACTGGATGAGTACTTTTGTAAATCTGGAATGAGGAGCATCTACCCAAAGAATAGCAGGAAGCGTGATTCCTGAGAGGACTGGGGGATGTGTGAGGACGGATTGGGATCATAGTAGAAGGGATCTTCTTTGAATGGGGTCATAAAAGAGATGAGTACAAACAGGTAGGCTTCCATTCTCTGAAGTATAGGTTAAGCAACCTGCTGAGTGGGAGGACATGAGAAGGAGCTGGTCCACAATCTGAGAGTACTTGAGAAGATGTGAAGGTTATTCCAGGTAATATTAGGAAACTAGTTAACTGTAGGAAACAATCGCTTTCTAGGCTAAAGGGTCCATTTGAGGTTGGTGATCTAAATTTTATTATACTAGCAAATCTGAATATATATGTGTCTTAGTTCATGTTTCTATTGTTTCAGTGAAACACCATAAGCAAAAAGCAAGTTTTGGAAGGAAAATGGTTTACTTGGCTTATGTTTTCATGTTACTGTTCATCGTTGAAGGAAGTCAGGACAGGAACTCAAACAAGGCAGGAACTTGGAGTCTGCAGAGGCCATGGAGGGGTGTTGCTTGTTCCTCATGGCTTGCTCCCTCTTCAATCACTAATTAAGAAAATGCTCTGCAGGCTTGCCTCCAGTCGGATCTTATGGAGGCATTTTCTCCGTCAATGTTTTCTCCTCAGACAACTGTAGTTCTTTCCGAGTTGACATAGATCTAGCCAGCACAATACATCCGTGTACGTGGTGCTTATTTCCTCTGGTTGCTCTGGTGGAAGTACTGAGAAGGTAATTAGTTGGACTTTTGTGGGTTGGAATATAGCCAAATAGGTGTTGTGGGAGACCAGAGGTAAGGCAATTGTGGATTTTTGCAACAGACTATGGTGATGACATCTGTTTGAGAAAAGGGGAAGTAAAAGGGTTCCATGGATAGAAAGTGAAGGGATTAATGGGCTGAGGTTCTGTGAGGCCCAAAACAATTCCAGTAAAGATAAGCAGGTAAATTGGGAGGAGGAGTAGGTCACAGTGAGACATTTGATTTGGAGTGTGTTAGGTGATGGTGTTTCCATGATGGAAAATCTAGGATATTATTGAGAGAGTCACTGTAGGGAGTGAGGAAATGGTGGCTGAGGTGGAATGGGAAGGTCATTGGGTGAAGGAGTTGAAGGTGTTAACTGGGTTTTCTGCACCAGTTTTCAAACAAGGTGGAGGTGAAGTCTTATGTATCAGGCATCGGATCCTGAATTCTGGGTCTTATAGAGAGTGGCGCTCTCACAGAGGAAGAAAGAGAAAGCAGTACAGCCCACTGGATGAGCCTCAGGAGAGAGCGGGTTCCTGAAAGACATGGAGATGGAGGAGGTGGTATTGGATTGCATCATGTTTAAGCCAGGCATGATAGTACCTGTCTATAGTCTTAGCTACATGAAAAACTGAGGGAGAATCACTTGAGAGCAGGAGATCAAAGCCGGTCTGTGGAGGGGTAACCCACTTGAAAATCAGGCAGTTTGTGTTTGCATCTGATTTTTAATGGAGTTGGATGTTGAAATCCCTTGCAAGTATTTTGCTTAAAACTACCAGTAGAGTCAAATGTAGTGACAGGTACCTAGAATTCTAGCACTTGGGAGCCAAGTCAATGAAAGACCCTGTGTATTTTTCAAAAGATAAAGTGAATGGCTCCTGAGGCCTAATAACAGAGTTTAACCTCTGTCTTCCACCTGTTTGTGCACACCCGTGTAGGTACACACACATGCACACAAATAAATAAACCTCTGGAATGTAATGCAACTATGATTGAGAACTACCAAGAGATACAAAGACTGTTCAGAGGAAGTGAAAGATACAGGAATGTTTGCTGCCCACAGAAGGCTGAGAATTGGGGCAGGGTGGGAGAAAGGAGAAGAGAAGGTTGGGTCATGAAATAATTTGTTATATTTTCTAAGCATTTTGGTAAAAGAGCATTTGGTGATAATTTTCAAACAGTTTCCGGAATCTTTTGGCCATTAAATAGGTCTATTTTATATTTGCTAAATTCTGTTTTTCAAGAATTGTAGGAAAGGGATTAAATGTTCTTGTACTAAATCTGCATCAGATAGAGATTGCTCTGTTTTACCTATTCTGATTGTAACTGACATGAGAAATGGAGGACTCGGGTCCTGAAGCTTTTCCCAGTAGCTTTAAGGCTGTTCCTAAATGACACTTGTCTACCTGCCTTTGTTCTCCTCTGCACAGTGCATCCCCCCAGTAAGTATCTTATCTGTGGCCCTCTTGGTTGTCTTTCATTCCTCCATTTTCATCCTTTTTATTCTTCTGACCAGTAATTTTATTTTAAAAAAAATCACTGAGTCCTATGAAGATGGAAACAAATGAGATTTTAAAAAGAAGACAAAAACAGAACCAAAGACAAGAACTAGATTACCAACATAAGAAACTAGGATATGAATTCCATTTCTCCTTTCTTTATTATTTATAAGTGTAGAAAAGTCCTCTTCCACAGCTATTTGTTGAATGCCTTCTAGCTCTGAATCTGCCATCATTGTTACCAGGAGAGTGACCAGCTAACTCGGGACTTTGTCCATCCTAATAATCTGAAAAGTCTTGAAGCACATATGGGAAGCCCTTAAGTTTCAGACGACTCTGAAACTGTTGGAGAGCATTGGATGATGTGGATATGTGTCCTGCCTCCTGACTAAGGAATGTGTAGCTTTAGGAACACAGGAAAGCAATATGTGTAATCCATTAGAATAAGAATATAAACAAAAACATAGGCTCCCTGGATCATAAAATCTGAATAGTTGAGTCAGATGGTAATTTTAGGGCACCAGAAAACAGGTGAGAGTATGCTGTACCCTTAAGAAGTCTAAGCCTGAGTCTGGAGAGATAGCTCAGCTGCCCATCCTGAGGACCTGGGTTCAATTCTCAGAATCCTCATGATAACTCGCAACTGTCTGTAACTCCAGTTCTAGAGGGACACACTGCCTCTTCTGACCTGCAAGGGTCAGACACATAACACAGACATACATGTAAGCAGAAATACTCATACATATAAAATAAAAATAATAGTTTTAATAATTAAAGAACTCTGAGACCTTTGTAAATTTACTTTTTTTTTTGTTTGTTTGTTTTTTTCTTTTGTTTTTCAAGAGAGGGTTTCTCTGTAGCTTTGGATCCTGTCCTGGAACTAGCTCTTATAGACCAAGCTGGCCTTGAACTCAAAGAGATCTGCCTGCCTCTGCCTCCCAAGTGCTGGGATTAAAGGAGTGTGCCACCACAGACCAGCTGTAAATTTACTTTTTAAGTATTACTGTTCGTAATGTTTAGAGATGTTTTGCATGCATGTATGTATTGTACCATGTGCATATTTGGTGCCTGCAGAGACTAGAAAAGGGCGTTGGATCCCCTAGAACTGAAGTTACTGAGGTTGTGGTTTAACATGTGGGTGTTGGGAATTGAACCCAAGTCATCAGCAAGAGCATCAAATGCCCTCAACTGCTGAGCCGTCTCTACAGCCCCAGTAAATTTGCTTCAAATTCTACTTTCTCAAATGGTTCTTCTTAACCAACCCACTCTTGGAGTAGATCTTTATGTTGCATTTGCAAGATTATTCAAAATCCTCATTTTTACTTGAGGTATTTTTCACTTGTGTTAGAGGTATAGATACATCTTTCTAGAACACTTTAAATCAGTCCCGCTATTTTTAAGTTAGCTTGTAAATTGAATTTACTCTGAACCTAACCATGTTACTTCCTATATTACCTTCATGCTTTAGAATACTATATGAGCTGGACTTGAAATGGTGGGGATTTCCACTGTGGAGAGAGGAAGAGGATGATTGATGAGTTTATTATCTTTTGCTAGAACTTAGAAATCCCTGCACTGACATCTGAGAGATCAGGACATAGGAAGCTATGAGTTAGCTTATTATAATCTTGAGTATCTATTGCTAGATCAGTCTGCTTATTGACACAGTCCATGAGCACTGTGCGTACTATGAGTACTTCCCATAGGGTTTCCTCTCTGTTTCAGCCCCTCAACCACTGCAATACCGAGCCCTTGCTCTTGGATGTGCACTCCTTATTGAAGGTCTAGAATATTTGTAATCTGGACCTCCTACTGACCAAAAAATTTCAGAATACTGTCTCAATAAAGCAGTGTATCACACATCTAGGTATCTATGGATTTAATTCTTTTTAAAGGTGGCTGCAAAATTCGGGTGCAAGGAGACTGGACCAGAGAACGCCACTTTGAAATTCCTGATGAAGAGCTCTGCTTAAAGTTCCTCTCAGAAGTCTTTGCGGCACAGGAAGGTAACTCAAGACTCAGCAAGTTTCTTTCCACTATTTCAGTGGGAGTAAAATACTGATGTGCTGATTCAGAGTAACGGAGCCGTTAACAAAGCCCCCTGCCCCTTGAGCCCTGATAGCTGATTTTTTTTTTCTTCAGGAATGAACCCAGGATAGATTAAGGAACAAGTCTACCCAGCTCTAAAAAGAAAGTTGATGGCATGGCATGCAGTTCCCTGCAGCCTGTAATCCCCCTCCTTTTGCCCCCAAGATGACTCAGAGGTGTCGGTATTTCCTTAGTCTCTTCCATTCCATTCCAGAATTGTGCTGACCATGTATTTACTCGGGGAGTTTAAATAAATGAGTAGCTTTGCGTTTGTAGTTTCCCAGTTTCTGACCTAAATCTTGTCTTTCCAGCTCAGTCACAGCTTCTTGTTCCAGAACAGAAAGAATCATCTAGCTGGTATCAGAAATTAGACACTAAGGATAAACCTACTTATTCAGGTATTAGAAAGACTCTTTTATCTCCGGTTGCTATGATCATTTTAGAGTCGATAGATTGTATTCAGATTAATTGGTTGTATAGAGTGGTTTTATTAAACCCATGACCATGGACCAATGTTTCACTCTATGGTATACTAGCTCTTTACAGGCCAACTGGAAAAAAAGGTTAAAAAGTACAAACTCCACAGCCAGACAGCCTAGGTTTGAATGTCAAGTCAGTAAAATACCGACATGAAGCTTACAGATTATGTCATCATGTTTGAGTGACTCAAAAACCCTGAACTTCTGTTTCCTTCTCTACAGTGTGGGAAGAGTTTTCATTAAAAATACTTTATGAGGTTATTGTAATGTAAGAAAGACAAATGATATATAATCCCTTCTGTAAATGTCGGCTTACATTATTCAAAATCCAGATCAGTATAAATTTTCTATCATTACAGTTAGCATATCAGTGCTTCTTGGATGAATACGAGTCTTAGCATAATTTAAGTGATTACGACCGCTGTGGTGCCCTTCTGTTTAGCAACATTGCTGATGTTGCGCATAAAAGCCTTGTCTATCCTGGCTATGTTGAGGATCTCTGTTTCTTCACTTTCACTTTGGATCTTGTATCCTTCAGGACTGCTTGGATTTGAGGATAATTTTTCATCTATGAATTTAGGTAAAACAGTGAACACACCAAACTACCCCACAGCGATTCATCGGGAACCACCCCCTCCACCTGCTTCAGTAAACAGAATGTAAGTCCTGTGTCACAGCATACTTCCCCCTATAATAGGCTTGTATGTTAGCCTGTTTTACTTTTGAATCCTGCTTGATGTGCTAGGCCTCTACGTGAAAAGGAAACTTCAAACAAAGAACAGCCCAAAGTGACCAACACCATGCGGAAGCTATTTGTACCAAATACCCAGTCTGGGCAGCGAGAGGGTCTCATCAAACATCTCCTTGCAAAGCGAGAAAAAGAATATGTCAACCTCCAGTCTTTCAGGTTTGTCTGTCTTCTACTCGCTGAGTCTAAAACTTTAGGTATAACAGTCTTTTTATTTGTAAAAATATTAGCTTCATTAAGAATCAAAGCATGCTATAAGGCAATGTTCATCTGACTCAGACTAATGTCTCTGCTGGCCAAAAACATATATATCTAAGATCAAACAATACTTTCAATTTCCTAACTGCTAATAATACCATGTCTACTAATATTTCTACCCACACTTAGAGGAACAAATCAAACTCACATATAATAGAAAATTGTCCTCTCACGCCTCTATAAACAAGTATGTGTCTCATCTGGCCTACTGAATCTTTGTCCAGCCAGTACTGGAAAACTAAAGTCCACCATTACTGCCATGTATTTACTGCTTTGATAAATTAACTAAAGTTTCACCCAGTCATCTAGATTGGAAGATCTATCCTGAATCCTTTCCTATTAGTTTTCATCTCACCTTGGCTCATTAACATCTCATTTTCTGGACCCTGGTATGTGTGGTATAAAGGCGAGGTGATGGGGTATGGCATGTATCCCCAGTGTGTTATTCATGGGCAGAATATGCCTTTCTAATCCAAGACTCCAGTCCCGTCTTCTAGCCTAACATGCATCATTTCCTCAAATCCAGTCACAACTGCAGTTCCTCCTATTCTATACAGCACTTATTGTGAACAATTAGGACAGTCATGAGTCATCCCTTCTGCCTTCCTGTTTAGTGTACTATCTGCCTCATCAAAATTTTCCAAAGAGTTGTCCTCATGATCCTCAAGAAGGGAGGTTTTTTTCAGTTTAGCTATAGCTCCTTACAGAACAGTTGTCCTTATTAGCCTGTCTCCAGTGCAGAAACAGCTCTTTCCATTCTAACCTAAAGCTCTCCCTTAATGAATGTGGATAAAGTTTGAGTGGACATTTGTCAAGAGATTTAAGTGTGTCTGTTTAAAATACAGACCTAGCTCCTTTTTGGTGATTCACTTGATGTAAAATGTAGAGAAAATAAACCCAGGGCTTTGTATTCTATGAGCAAAATTTTTCTTATGTAGCTGGCAAAACACTTTGAAGCGTTATGTTGATCAATATACCCTTTCATAGAAATGTTAAAAGTAGTATTATGTTTGTTAATGCTTTATCTTTGTTTTCAAATTAATTTTTGTTGGACTGTATTAGATTTTTTGTTGGAACTTGGAATGTGAATGGCCAGTCTCCAGATAGCAGCTTAGAACCTTGGCTGAACTGTGATCCAAATCCTCCTGATATTTACTGCATTGGGTAAAGACCACTTCTGGACCTTCCTTTTCCTCTATTTGGTATTAATGTAACATGGCTTTGGCCTCTCTCTCACCTTTGTTTGTGTATGTGTTTGTGTATGTAATGTGTTAGCATTACATTGGGTGTCTCCCACGATCGGTCTCCATCTCACCTTCTTTGCATTTTTTTATTCTTTAACCATTTCGTTCTTATATATAATAAATTTTAGTTGTTTCCACCCCTATGACCTTCTCTCTCTCCTGCTGAAACCTTTCTTCCCATCCAGTCTACCTCCTACACCCATGTCTTCTTTATATACGTGACCCATTGTGTTTAATTGGAGTTTCTCATGTGAACATGAATGGGAGGTTTTTTACTGGAGCGTGAGCAACTTATCAGTGGCTATACCCCAAAAGAAAGTGACAGCCTTTCCACCAGCAACCATTAACTGCCCATTGTCCCTCAGGGAGGGGTAGAGCCTCATGGGCCCCTCCCCTATCCATGATGAAATGTTGATGGGTCCAATTTGCAAAGGTCTTATACAGACAACCACAACTGGAGTGAGTTCAAGGGGAGCAATGATTATGTCATCAGGAAGACGTCCTTTTGCTGTACATGTCACCGTCTTCTGGCTCTTACATTCTTTCCATACCCTCTTCCACATGTTCCCTGAGCCTTGCAGTGTGTGATGTAGCTGCCCCACGGTGACAGGGCCCTCCACCATCACTAATTCTCAGCACTTTGGCCAATTACGAGTTCTTGCATTAACTGCCACCCACTTCTATGTTAAAGCCTACCTTATATCTACCTTATTTTTTGAGAGACTCTCCACTGAACCAGGAGCTTGCCTCGAGATCCTCCTGTCTCTTTCTCCCCAGTGCTGGGATTGCAGGTATATGCTACACCCACAGCTTTGTTTTCCATGGATGCTGAGGACTGACCTCATGTCCTCACACTTGGACAGCAAGCACTTTATTGGCGGAGCCATTTCCCCAGCCTTCATCTTCCTATTTTTTCTAAAACTCGTTTGGTTAAAAACTTGATGTGAACTATATGTGAGGGTTAATTTGTGGGTCAAAAGAAAGCATGAATGAAACCCATAGGAAATTGCTCATCATAGAAACAGATGAAATCAATTCTCACAGTGATTATTCAAAGGTTGTAAAAGAAAAGTTTCACTACTATCCCTATGAGAGTTTTGATTGTTATTGTTATTTTTAGTATAACCTATGAATATAATGGTGGGGATTCTTTAAAAAAAAAACTACATGTCTTTTATAAAATTTATCTTGCATTCTTTTTTTACCTTTACTCTAATGTCTCAGAAAATGGAAAAGGAGGCAGTCACTAAGTTATGGGCTGTGTATACCATAGCTATAGCCTCTGCCCCCATTTTTCCCTCAGATTCCAAGAGCTGGATTTGAGCACAGAAGCCTTTTTCTACTTTGAGTCTGTAAAAGAGCAAGAATGGTCCATGGCCGTGGAAAGGGGTCTGCCTTCAAAGGCCAAGTATAAAAAAGTAAGCTGCACTGGATTATCTCTTTCAGTCTATAACTAAGTAGACCTCACTGGGAGTTAGTCCATTAGCTGAACCTCTTTCAAAAAGCTTGTTAAATAATTGAATTCTTCCTCAGATGAAATACTGTGCTATAGGAGCCTAATCTACCATAGTTTCTTCTGGGGGGGAGCATAAGTTTTCTGTTCATAATTTTTATAACTTGGGTAGCCTTTAGAAGAAAACAATTTACTGTTTTTGCATTAATAATTAAGTCAAAATAATTACATATAAGCTAATTGATCTGTCTGTGCAATAAAAGTACAACTGTCTTCCAACATGGCCAAAATGAAATGCCTACCAGAAAAGCAGATTGAAGCTTATGGGGTGCATAAAGTGTGCTTTAGATTCAGAACAAGAACAGCAGTGTTGTGGTATTTAAACAAATTCTAGACTTCTTTGTAGGTGAAGAATAAAGTTGAGGGGCTGAAGAGATGGCTCAACAGTTAAGAGCACTGGCTGCTCTTCCAGAAGACCTGGGTTCAATCCCCAGCATTGACATGGCAGCAAACAACTTTCTCTAACTCCAAGATCTGACACCCTCACACAGACACACATTCAGGCAAAGCACAAATGCACATAAAATAAAAATAAATAGTTTTTAAAAGGTATATGCCACAACACTCAGCTATTTGTTAAATAATAATAGCAATAAAGTTGACTTTAGCAAGGTGGTCAAGTTTGTTGGTCTTTAGAAGATATTTGGTATAGGCATTTAGCTACTAGGAGAAATATTTTCATTTCAAGGCGACAATCCTAATCTCAGAAGGAGTAATCTAATGTTCTTCTTTGCTTTTGAACAGTTTATGTAGGTGGCATAAATCGTGAAGATATTACAGCTCTCTGGCTCATTTAGACTAAAAATAATCAAAATTCAAAGGATCACTGTTTGTAGATTTAAATATCTTAGACAACATGAAATCAGAGTCTAGGAAGGAGAAGGAAGAACTTGCTGGGATAATGGCTTGTTTTTTACTATTTGAATTTTTAATGTACTGTCAGTAGGGTACAAAGTGATTTACAAAGAGAGCTAAAACTGAGCATGTGAGTTAGTGATAGAGTGCCTGCCTGCATAGCATGCTCGGAGTTCTTCATTTGATCCTCAGCACTGACAAATAGAAACACACAGGGGTGGGGAGACAGAGAGCAGAGAGAGAGAGAGAGAAACTTCTACATTATCTTCTACATTATCTTTTGTTAGTCAAATTGAGACTAGAGCTTCCACAAAGAACCTTGGTTTCCAATTTATGGGGTCCAATAGGAAATTAGAGGATGCAGATACAGATGTGGACATCAGTAATCACTTTGTTGGTCATTCTAAGAAGGTAGCTATGTAGCAGAAAGTGATGCTCACATTAGCTGTTTGTAACTCCCTGAAACTCATAGGTGCAACTAGTCCGCCTTGTGGGGATGATGCTTCTTATATTTGCCAGAAAAGATCAGTGTCGGTATATACGTGATATTGCTACAGAAACTGTGGGAACTGGAATCATGGGGAAAATGGTGAGTTACTTTGGCAATTAATTTGATTATTGTTGATATCTATGTGAAATTTGGTTGCACCCCGTGTTTCCTAACTTTATAATTGCCTTTGCTACCAGGGAAACAAAGGAGGAGTCGCTGTGAGGTTTGTATTTCATAACACCACCTTCTGCATCGTCAATTCCCACCTGGCTGCCCATGTGGAAGAGTTTGAAAGAAGGAATCAGGATTATAAGGACATCTGTGCAAGAATGAGTTTTACAGTCCCCAATCAGGCTCTCCCACAGCTGAACATCATGAAACATGAGTAAGTGGCCTCTCCATGGCCTTTGCGTGGAGATGTAGCAGTGGTTAGATAGGGTGAGAAGCTATGGAGCTGTGAAAAGGGAGGGATTACCATTTGGGGATTTGGACCACAAAGAAGAGAATATGTTATTTAGAACTAGATTCACTGAGGCAGAGAAATTAGATATGGCATTAGGGGGAGAAAGGTTTGTATTAGTGTAACTTCTAAAATAATGCTGAAGGAGTCTACACATTAGTGTCATTTTAAATAATGAAATAGAAATGGTCACTGTAAGTGTGATAATAAAAGATAAAATGAATAAACATGGTTTAAAATCCTTTACTTACCTCCTCTTCTCCCCAGCCAGTCCCTCTCTCCATAGGAGACTGTATTTAACATTTGAATGTAGACCTTTCTAGATGTGCACTGTCTAATATGATAGCCAGCATCTGGCTGTTGGTATTTGAAAGTCATTCGTCAAACTGAAAGGTCTGTGAGCAAAAGCTATATTGGATTTTGAAGATTGCTTGGGGGAAATGTGGGATACCTTAATTTGCAAAACATTAATCACACCTTAATGATTTGGGTGTATTAAGTTAAATAAAAGTTGTTATTTTTACTTTTATATTTTAAGTGCAGCTACTAGAGAAAATATAAGGATATGGAGGCATGCATCATTTCATCCAACAGTCTCTTCTAGACTCTTCTCCATACATGTACAGACACACATACTTGTTGTATGAGAAAATTGCCCTATTCATCTTTCCAACGTTGTGTCTGCAGATCTACATTATTCTTCTTAACGGTTGTGATTATTAAAAATGGGTGGCAGGGATAGGTCTGCGAAGATGGGGATTTCATAAGGACAGGAGCAGAAGTCCATTGAGGAATGGGTTAGGTGGTGTCGCAAAGAATCAGCTGTGGAGAAATTCTTTGAAACTCTGAGACGATGATTTGGAAGGAATAGCGCAAGGCGGGAACTGTAGTAAATCAAAAGATAATTTAGGATTATGAGAAGCAGTGGATATTAGGGGAATTAAGGAAGGAACAGGGCAAGGTGGTAATATTGGAATATGTCCTTACTGTCTCAACAGTTGGGGGAATATAGAATTGGGTTTCACAATGACAAAGTCAAGGCCTTGAAATTTATGTTCATGAAGCCCCCAGAAATTCCATAAATTTAATCCCAAGAGTCCAAACTTTCCTGTTGCCTTTGAGAACTTGAGGTGACTCAAAAGGGACCCATTTTGATGTGGTAATTTCAGGGTCTTGGCACATCTCAAGTCCTGGTGCTGCGGTTGAGAAGTAAGGTGCCAGTATCCTTCTTTGGGGGAACTTGAACTTCAGATCTGAAACAGATTTTGTCAGGTTGACTACACTGGAGGGTCGGGCTCAATTTTCCTAGTGGGCTGTCAGTCCTTCCCACCATCCAAACCGTGACAGAGCACCTACAGAACCTCAGGGCTCTGGGAGGCAAAAAGCATTAAGATTCTCTTTGCCTAGAGACCTGGCAGGTGGCCAGAAAAAATTTTGAAGCTAATCCAGCAAATAAACTGCATGCTTCTCAGTCCATTAATTCCTTGGCTTCCAAATCCCATATGTATACTATATGGCCCCACTTTCATTCAGTTTTATGTGGCGTGCCTATTTTCCCAGATATTTTATAGTCTATTGGCTTTCTCCGGGATTGGCAGTACTTGCCCCTAAAGAATTGATGGCAGCTTTAAACCCCTTGTCAGCGATAAATAGATCCTTATAAGTAGTCTACCCATTTTCTTCTCTCAGTTCTCCTCTGATTGACTTTAATGTTAATTAGTGCTATTCTAATCTATTTCTTGGTCTTCAGTGTTGTCATTTGGTTGGGAGACTTGAACTACAGACTTTGCATGCCTGACGCCAATGAGGTGAAAAGTCTTATTAATAAAAATGACCTTCAGAAGCTCTTGAAATTCGACCAGGTAAGTGAAGTTTCAGTGGCAGAGATGGTGAGGATTATGAGATAGACATGGTAGGCATGGCTTATGCTGGGAAGAGATGCAAGTTTTACTATCTTGTAAGACATTGTACCTGGGGATATATAGATTTGGAGTGCCTTGATTAAGTACTAAGATTCAAGGGAGATAATGTTGGTGAAAAAAAGCCAATGTAAAATTCATTTAATAAGTCATTATCAGGCAGAGATTTTAGAGATTTGTCTAGATTGGCTACAGCATACATGAGGTTAGTTGGAGAATACTTCCTAGAGGAGAATTGCCTTCTGCTCTATTAATGTGCTTTAGCAGATGGAATGGGGAAAATTGTTCTGTGATTATTTGGCAGACTGAGCAACAGCTTGGAGATCAAACAGAGGGGCAGGCCCTATGAAAGAGATTGGGAAGCTAATAAAAAAAAGGTTTTTTGGGAATGACCAGCATAAGCTATAGTCAAATAGGAACTGGTTGATAAGTTGGTGTTGACTGATATTTAGCTGTTGATGTTAAAACCAGTGGAAGGGGCTGAGAAGGTAGCTCAGTGGATAAAGTGTTTGTTCCATAAGAATCTGTACTTGAGTTAGGATCCTCAGCACCCATGTAAATGCCAGGCACAGTAGCATGCATCTGTAATCCCCATTCTGAGGGAGACAGGTGTATATCCCAAGGGCTTACTGGTCAGTCAGCCTAGTCCAAACAGTGAGCTCCTGGTTCAGTGAGAGAGCCTGGTCTCAAAATATAAGGTAGAGAAGTGATTGAAGAAAGCATCCTGATAGCACCCTCTGACTTCTGCACATCCCTACATGGAAGCCTACCCACATATAAACAAACAAGAACAACCAAAGTACTTGTGGGGAAATTATTGATTATGGAGCGCTCAGACAAAACATGATATTCAGTAAACCAGTCTGTGACTATAAGCCTCTATGTTGGTGTGTAAAGCTGGTAAATGAGTTGAATTTTTATTTTTATACACCCTTTTTTTATTTTTGCACTTGAGCATCACTATAAAGCCTGTCCTAGCCTGGAACTAGTTATATAGCCTAGGGCTGACCTTGAACTTGCACTTCTTCTACCTCTGCTTCCTAAGTGCTGCTGTTACAGACATAGGCCAAAACACCTTGATCATAAGAATAATTTTTTTGGAATATAGGTAGTGATCCATGAAAATGAATATTCCTTCATGTCATTTCATATTTGATTAATACATATTAATTGTACACAGTCATTGTGTTTCTTTGATGTATCAGCATGTAGAGTTGGAGTAGAATAATCAAATCCAGCCTCTGGGATCTGGGGATGTAGCTCAGTGGTCAAACACTTGCATAATCTATGTTAGGCTGTGAGGACAATCTAGAGCACCATAAAAATCACCTCGTTATTTTTATATGACCTCTCCTCACATTCCACTTTCTGATTATCACTATTCTACATTCAGGCTGACTTCTTTTGGCTTTCATGCCTGAGAGCTAAATTGTAACATTTGTCTTTCTGTGTCAGATTTATTTCATTTAACAATAATTACGTCTAGCTCATCCATTTTGCTGCAAATAACAGTGCTTCATTGATTATGACTGAATAATATATGTGTGTCACATTTTCTTTATCTAGTCAGTATTCACAGGCACTTTTCTTGGTTCCTTATTTTTGGCTATATAACTAATGCCACAGTAAACATATGTGAACACTTATCTCTTTGGTATGCTGGTTTTACTTTCTTATTATCCACCCAGCACATCATGGTACAGGAGTGAAAGTAAATGCTTCTTAATGAGAAAAGACAAAGTTTTAACTTGATTCAAATGTCTTTAAATCCCTATGAGAGCCTTTTGACCTTTAGACACAGTAAAAATTCAAGTGTTGTGCAGTACAATAGTTTTTATAGTGAGTCTTCCTTAGCTATCTGCCTTTACACTGAAGTCGAATGGCTAATTTGTATTCCTTCCTCTTTCTTGCTTCTAGAAAGGGTACAGTTGGGATAATTGCTGAATCTTGTGTAACTTTGGTAAAATATCTGAGTGAGGATAACTTTCTACAAGAATGGGTTATAGGGCTGGAGAAATGAGTACTTGCCTTGCCAGCATGATGGCCTGAATTTGGATTCCAACATCCATAAAAAAGCCAAGTATGGAAAAATGGACCTGTAACCCCAGCACTAACAGGGAGAGATGGAGACAGGAGGGTCAGTGTGTGTGTGTGTGTGTGTGTGTGTGTGTGAGAGAGAGAGAGAGAGAGAGAGAGAGAGAGAGAGAGAGAGAGAGAATGAGAGAGAGAGAGAGAGAGAGAGAGAGAGGGAGAGAGAGGGAGAATGGGTTAGAGCATGTACGTGCAGTGCCCATGGAGACCAGAATAAGTCTGTGGATCCCTTAGAGCTGAAGTTACAGGTAGCTGTGAGCCATCCAACAAATTTGGGTCCCCTGGAAGAGCAGTGTGCTCTCTTAACCACCAGGCCTCTCTATTGCAACAATTCACCCACTTTTTTTAAAAAAGAAAAAACATTAGCTAGTCATTGAAATTGGTTTCAGGAATTATCCTTTTAAGGTCTGCATGGTTTTGGTGGTGATGGTGGTGTTGTAATTATGATTATGCTAGGTTGTGCCTGTCCAGTTCTAAACAGTGTAGGACTATTCGAAGTTCTTGTTTCCACAGTTTTGTCCTGACCACAGTTGGCAATAAAATGGCAATGTACTAATAACAAGTGTTGTCATTGAATCCGAAAGATTAGCAGTCTTATCTGTGTATTTTTCCACACTTGAAAGGGCTCTGGAACTGGATCCCTACAAAGGGAACAGTGACCAACCAGCCTGATTATCACCTCTGCTAATGTAGTGTTGTTGTGCTTACATGGTGTTTCTTTCTGGCTGCAGTTAAACATTCAGCGCACACAGAAAAAAGCCTTTGTGGATTTCAATGAAGGGGAAATCAAGTTTATTCCCACTTACAAGTATGATTCTAAAACTGACAGATGGGATTCCAGGTAAAGTGATAAGAACCTTCTCGCAGACGAGGTTAAGGCTTGATCTTTCCTGTGCTTTTCCATGTCCCTCCTGAAAGGCTAGGATTTTTTTATATCATTCTGTATGCAGAGAGGGAAATCTAATGGCTTAGTGTTATTACAGAAGAGTATTTCAAACTGAGCTTAAATTAGGAAAGTATTAATTAGATATCAGGGCTGGTGACATTTTATGAACTGCCTCTGGTACCTTGTTTCTGTCACCTCTGCAAACTTGTTTAGATTTTTTTTGTGTTCCCTAGTCTTACCTTTCTTTCTCACCTAAGGCTCTTAGCCTCCTCCCCTAATGCTTACCTAATGCTCTTAGCCAAACTACTTCTCTGCTACTGACTCTGGATACTCTGAGAACCAAGAGTCATAAGCAGTTCTCCAAGCAGAGTCATTCTTGGTCCTGAGAACACATTAGAATCCACTGGTAAGGGCCTGGAGAGATTGCTCAGTGACTAGAATACTTGGTGCTCTTGCAGAGGACCTAAGTTCAGGAACTCCAGCTCCAAGGGATCTGACATCCTTCTCTGACCTTTGAGGACATCTGCATACACACATACACACACACACACACACACACACACACACACACATTAATGAAAAAAACAAAAATAATCCTCTTAGACATCCTGAAATCTGGACCCATACTTCTTAGAAGAGAAAGCTCTAGTCTTCTCCAGAGGTTAAACCCGGCCTAGAAATAGAGAATGGCGGTTTTCAAGTTCATTAGTTGTCTATCATGGAGTGCCATTGCAGTCAGGTGGAGCAAAGGAAGAGAAAATATTAAGGATGGGATCCTGACCTGAGAAGGCTATTTTCTAATTAATTAATTTATTTATTAAAAATTTCCACCTCCTCCCCTCCTCCCATTTCACTCCCACTCCTCCCACTCCTTCTCCCCCTCCCTCTTCAGTCCTAAAAGCAGTCAGGGTTACCTGCCCTGTGGGAGGTCCAAGGTCCTCCCCACCTCCATCCAGGTCTATCTAGGAAGGGGAGCATCCAAACAGACTAGTCTCCCACAAGGCCAGTCCATGCAGTAGAATCAAAACTCAGTGCCATTGTCCTTGGCTCTGAGAAGGCTATTTTAAGGAGGTGCTGTTCCATCCTTCCCTGTGGTGACATTTACGATGCAGACCTAAATTTAGGGAAACCATCCCTCCATTAGTTGACACTAGGCACGTTATACTTTGTACTGGGCAGTAGTGCTAGGAGTTTAGTGGCTGACAAGCATACACAGGCCCTTATCGGTGCTTGCAATGTAGAGAAGATGATAGGGACCGCCTGGGAAGGAGAAGTATGTGCTTCATTGGAAGCATATTAGAAGAGGCCTAATGTGATTCTAAACCAGTGTGTGTTACAACATCCTAGTACCGTATACTCTGTTTGTGACTCATTCCTTTATTTACAGTGGGAAATGCCGCGTTCCAGCCTGGTGTGACCGAATTCTTTGGAGAGGAATAAATATTAATCAACTTCATTACCGGAGTCACATGGAACTCAAAACTCGTGACCACAAGCCTGTTAGCGCCCTGTTCCATATTGGGGTAAATAGTTAATTGCTCATTCATTTGTTTACGTGTTAAGTAGCTACTTCCAGAGCATTATGTAGATAGAGTAAATTCGTACTCTAGCGTGCCATAAATGTTCTCTAAGCAAATTATCATTCTCAGAGTTGAGTAGTTAGCACCCCTCAACCCTCCCAAATGCTAGCCTTCTATTTCTTCATGATCCCGTCTTTTTACTGATATGCAGATATTTTATTCCATGTAGGCACAGACTGATCAGAACAGAACCAGATCTACTCATTCAAGAGAGTCCTGTCCACTGCAGTGGCACGTTCCTCTCAAACAGCATAGATATTATGTTCTTTTGTACTTGGTTGCATCTTAGGCTGAATTGATAACCTGTTTCGCCTCTAATATGAATGCATTTTCCCATTTTTAACTGTGTTATGAGTGTGGAAATTATCTTATAAGCTTGATGGTTGATATTTTGATTACTTCTTGTGTATTTTCCACATATGTGGTCATGTAACCTGTCAGGATATAACTCTTGTGAGTCTCACTAGGATGAATTAGGTAGTCTACTGCTTGGTTTTACATTCCAGGTCAACCACTTTGTAATTGTGAAGAATATGGACAATTTATTTAGCATCCTTATGTGTCAATCTGCTCTACATAGTATGGTGGTAATGGGACCTACTCATGAGGATTAATGAGTTCAACCATGCGAAGGGCATAGTGAGACAGGTTACTTTTGTTTATGTCAGTTTCAGGGACTGCTGTCATAGGTGTTACCCATGTGTCTTTTTTTAAAAAAAGATTTATTTGTTTCTATTTTATGTACCTTAGCATTTTTGCCTGCATGCATGTCTATGTGAGGGAGTCTGATCTTCTGGAACAGGAGTTACAGACAGTTGTGAGCAGCCATGTGGGTGCTGGGAATTGAAGCCGGGTCCTCTGGAAGAGCAGCCAGTGTTTGTGACCTCTGAGTCATCTCTCCACTCCCACCTCCACCCTCAAGTCCTCTTTTAAAGAAGAATGACTTTAGGGCATTTCCTTGAGAAACAAAATTAATTCTTGGTCTTAGAGTATATTAAAATTTTCAAGACAACCAACAACTTTATTTTTTTTCCACTTTTGGGCTGCACTTGTTTTTGTTTCTTATTATATTTTGGCTGGGGAGGCACATGCTGTGTGCTGTGTAAAAGTAAGAAGACAGTTTGGGTAGGAGTTGTTTCTCGCCTTCCAGTATCCACAGTTGTTTTTAATTTGATGCTAGGAATCAGACACGGGCTTTTGTGCCTTCTAAACACCTGCCAGATCACTGAGCTATGCACCCCCACCCCTTCCCTTCCATTCCAACATACAGCAGCTAGTATCTGTAGGCCCAAAATGGCTTTAGGGAATTTGTGCATGTCAGTTACTTCCCACAACAATGCTCACTTCACAGATGAGCAGATAAAAACTCAGGGAGTTCCAGCATGACTTCCTTGAGAGTGATACAACACTTGCATGAGCCCTTTGTGGGGCTGGCAAGGTGTCTCAGTGGGTAAAGGTACCTGTCAGCAAGCCTGATGGCCCGACTTTGATTCCTGGGATCCACATGGTGGAAAGAGAGAATCAGACAACTTCTGAAAGTAGTCCTCTGACCTCCACATGTGTGGCGTGCCACATGCACACACATGCATGCACACACAAAGAAGAAAATTTAATTTGTCTTTTTGTTAAAATAGAGACCTAAGCCGAATTTACACAAAAGACTGAGACTCTTGGGGCTGGAGAGATGGCTCAGAGGTTAAGAGCACTGGCTGCTCTTCCAGATGTCCTGAGTTCAATTCCCAGCAACCACATGGTGGCTCACAACCATCTGTACTGAGATCTGGTGCCCTCCTCTGGCGTGCAGGCATACATTGAGGCAGAATGTTGTATACATAATAAATAAATAAATCTTTAAAAAAAAAGACTGAGACTCTTTAGTAACTGTCATCTCCCACTTGAGACTTTTCATAAATCCCTACTTCCTAGCCAGGCCAACACCATGTATGAGTGTTTGTCTTCCTAGACGTGTGTCATCATTGGTGCTTTCTGTAATGGTGGAAATGTCTTATATCTATGCTAGACTTCTGCATATGTCTTTCTGCTCAAAAGTTTTGTGTATATGTGTGTGTGTTGTAAATGGTCTTATACTATGTGCTGATGTGAATTTTGTTTGTGATATATAGTATATCTCTCTGGGTCATTTTGTTAAGATCTAGCTCATTTTCCTTTTATACTGAATTCCTAATTTGTTGGGGATTTCCTTTTCTGAAATGAATGTATCCCATGGTAAGATTCTTCCCACCACTGTCTGTTATCCTAGATGCACCATTAAGTAGTGCTAATCCATAGAGAATAGGTTTGCTTTTATTGAGTAACTACTTCATACTTTAGAACCTTGTGCTAACTATTATTAGAGACTTTAAAATCTATATTACACATTGGGGCACCACCACAGGCCCCAGGGACTTTTAGCAAAGGAGTCAAGTGTTCTGTTGTCAGTTTCTAAAGACTTGCTGTGGACTGTTTGAGACAGTGTTCTACCCTGCACTGGGTTCTGTGATCTGCTGTGATGGCTCTCAGATTTTAGGGAAAATGCCCATTGCTCAGAGAACTTTGTAAGAAGAAAAAAGGATGGAGCCATGAACCCCTCACCTCAACAATGTGAGAATAGTCCCAGGCCCCTGTGTTTTTAAACCTCAGCCAGGTGGAATCTGTTTCTTACCTCGTCTTTATGAAAGAATCTGCATAGTTTTCCAGATCTTGCCAGGGAGCCAGTTATGTGAACTGCTCAAATCTTAGAATAGCCCTTGCTTCTGTGGTCTTGAAAGTTCAAACAATATTTTTTAAGAAAGAAAAAGTTACATTTTTTTAAAAAAATTTAAGATTTAACTTAACCTAATGCTTACATACTGTGGGGTTAAAGTGATCAACCCTCAGTTCCTCAGTTCTCTAAGTTATGGCAGCAATGTATTTTTTTTTAAAAAAAAAAACCTCCCTAGTCCATTTAGTTCTGTTGTTTCCCACATCTGCCTCAGAACTTTGCTGTATACATTAATCTTTTTAAGATGGATTTTTGTGATTTTATACTTTATGTAAAAGGGAAACTGATGTCTCAAATATGACAGTGATGTTACATTACTTATGCCAAGTGGTAACATTAGTTTGTTTGAACTTTTAATATTTACAAAAATACAGCTATGTCAGGAAGCTGGAAATGCTGTGTCATCTAGAAACTTTATTGACCCATTACTCCAAATGACTTGTCTGTTGTCATGGTTTTACTCCAGGACATGTTGTGGTGGCCCTTTTCTAAAATGGTCACTGGCTCCATTTCCTAACACCACAGTTTTCCTGTTAGTAATCTGAGCAATTACCTGATTCCTGTCAACGGGCATAGCAACTAATGGACTTAAATGCTTCGAGCATTATTTTGTACAGTTTCACAATTTTTGCTTGTTAAAAATAGCAGTGGATGTGTTTTAGCACTGCAAGAAATCATTTTTATTACAAGTTCTCATTTTCTCCACTCTCAGATAATTAACAATGGAGCAAGGAAAAATATATACCATATACCCAGACATATACCATTATCAGACGTCTTAGAGATTTTACTTTTCCAGAAATTTAGCCATTTGACTTTATCTTTCCCATAAAGTGGATTTTATAATGCTTATTAATTTATTTTAGTGGCTTTTAGAATTTATTAGAACTTCTTAGAGAAGTTGAGATTACATGAGACTAAATAAAAATCTGTTTCCTTTGAGGTGAAGGTTATGGATGAAGCAGGATATTAAAGCTTTGAAGGGTGTTGATTGTACTACAGTTTATCTTAAAGGTGTCCCCGTAATGCCCAGTTTGAAATTATTACTCTTCGATGGAGATGAGCTAGGAGTGTGTAGAGCTGAAAATGGTTCCTTCTTTCCCGTTAGGTGAAGGTTGTGGATGAACGAAGGTATCGGAAGGTCTTTGAAGATATCGTACGCATTATGGACAGAATGGAAAATGACTTCCTTCCTTCATTAGAACTTAGCAGGAGAGAGGTGAGCAAAACTAGACAGCTTCTTGTCTACTATCCATTATTAGTTAACACAGAGGAAACCGTGTCACTTCAAAGGGCATCAAGGATAACATCTACATTGGTGTCAGACTGTCTCTGTTCTGGTGTCAGCTTTGCAGTTCGGTAGCTAGAGGAGCACAAAAAGCCTCAGAGATGCAGCTCCCTTTCCTGGATTACATGAGTTAATACATGAGAAGTTCTTAAAACCGCACCTAGCAGCTTGGAAGTCCTCATATTAGTTACTCTTGTTTGGTGCTCAGTTCATATGTTTGAGGGAACAGAGCCTAGTCACAGAATAAGCACCCTGGACCACAATTGTGTTCATCTCAGGATCCCTGGAAGAATCAGAGTAGCCTTGAACAGGGTCAAAAGTTACCTAGCACCTTCTTTGCTGGTGTTAGCTAAATAATGTAGGAAAGCCAATGCTAGGAAGTCGTCTCGGTCTGTGAATACATGTGGTAGGTATGATTAATAACTACCTTACTCTTGATTCATATTGTCTATGAATAATCCAACTTACTTCCCCTACTAGTGATGCATGGTTGTGTCTGTCTGTTCCCCAGTTTATGTTTGAGAATGTGAAATTTCGGCAGCTGCAAAAGGAGAAGTTCCAGATCAGCAACAATGGACAGGTTCCCTGCCATTTTTCTTTCATCCCTAAACTTAATGACAGCCAATACTGCAAGCCATGGCTTCGAGCTGAACCTTTTGAGGGCTACTTGGAGCCAAGTGAGTTTCCCCTTTACCACTGCCTCTGCTTGCCACCACCTTGGCTTAACTTCTAGTTCTCTAAGCGCTTGTCTCTTGCTTCACTGTCTTTATATTCGTGTGTCCCATCCTTTCCCCATTGTTGTTTTGTTCTTGTTTTTGAGGACAGCTGATTTTTCCACCAGAAAGCTCTGGGCTACAATGCACCATCTCTTTCATTTCAGATGAGACAGTGGACATTTCTCTTGATGTCTACGTCAGCAAAGACTCTGTAACCATCCTGAACTCTGGTGAAGATAAGATTGAGGATATTCTCGTCCTTCATTTGGATCGAGGCAAAGATTACTTCTTGACCATCGGCGGGAATTACCTTCCGAGTTGCTTTGGTACATCCTTAGAGGCTTTGTGTCGAATGAAAAGGCCAATCCGAGAAGTTCCTGTTACCAAACTCATAGACTTGGTGAGAAGCATTCTAAAACATAAATCGTCTTCACATTTAATTTGCATGTTTTTGTCCCCATTATTTCTGTGCCTTCTCTCTTCTTCTGGGGTCAGGGGAACTGACAAATGATACAGAAGAATGTCACTTTATCTTAGCACTACTTAAATTAAATTAAGCCTAAGAGGGAAAAGAAGAGGCTAATCTGTCGTTAACTCTTGTTGTGACTATAGTAGGTAGTATACTTCCAAAATAAGATTAAAGGCTCTCTCAAAGCTATGATGCTTGTTAGGTTTATCACACTCTTTCACATAAATTGGCATGTATGTGAGGTGTGGCAAGGGCACCATGCGGTATTATCCTCATTGTGCTGGCAAGAACACTGAGGTCCAGAGGCATTCAGTTGCCCATAGTCAGCTAAGTTAGTGACAGATCTTTCGCCCAGATTGTCTGACTTCCTCTCCAGTATCCCTCCCTACATTATATCAAATCAAACTTGGCTGCTGATGAGAACACAGGCTGTTAGGAAAGCTTACAGAACCTGCATCATTGTCTTAGGGGTGCTTACTCTACGTAGAGGTACCTATCCCCATTCACCAGTGGTAACAGAATTTTTAGATATGAAGCCTGAGTCTACATTTTACTAATATTCTAGAAGCTTTTTTCTTTGGTAGCCGAGGCTGGAATTGAATTTCCTGTTCAAATGAGAATGACTTTAAACTTCTGATCTCCCTGTCTCCACCTCCCCAGTATGGGATCACAGGTATATGCCCCAAGCCTGGTTTATGCAGTGTTGGGGATCAAAGCCAGGGCTTCATGCGTGCTAGGCAGGCACTCTGCCAACTGAGATGCAAACTCAGTCCATAGATGGGTATAATGCACACTGAGGCTTGTTCACTTAATGTGACTCAAAAAAGGAAAAGAGAATTATTTCCTCCCCTTTCCCAAACCAAGTTATTATAGAATATCTATAGTCTTAAGAGGAGAAAGTATATTATTTTCAGTAAAAAAAAACATGACTTAATAGCAAATTCATCCTATTAAAAACTTTTCTGATAAATGAAACTATTGTTGGATGTGTGTACAGGTTGGCACTACAAGTTTATTCTTAGCTTTTTTATCAAATATAATGAAGAGCCAAATGTTATCATGTGGATAAAATCACATTGGTGCTTAGGCCTGGGCAGAGCTAGTGATTGTAATATCCCACAAGAAGGGTTAGAGGAGGAGCAGCAGCCTGCTGACTTGTATCTGTGCTGTTGCCATGGAATTGTTGCACCTGTGACTCAGAGCAAATTACAGCACTGGAATTCTATTTGTTTCCATAGAGCTCTCATGATGGAAGGCTTTACCTGTGTTTGAAAGAAACCCATTTTCTATAGAAATTCATATCCTGCCAGTCTGGTATTTCTCGTAATTGTTTTTCTTCTACCACCATATTCCCTTTTTGTATCAAAAAAAAAACTATACAATATAGTCTGATCACAGATCCCCTCCCTCAGCTTTTCCCAGAGCCTTCCCACCCCACCCAACCAACTCCACACTCTTTCTTCTCTGACTTTAGAAAGCAGACAAAGATGCAAACAAAAGACAAAAGACTAGAATTCTTTTAAAAGGGAAAAAAATCATAAGAAATGCACGCGCATGTGCGTACAAACAAAAACTATAAAAACAAAATATAGGAAGCCTTGCAAAAGACAAGTGGGACAAAAAAATGCCCAAACAAAGCAAGATGAGACAAAATGTTTACCAGAATGGATGGGTTCATTTTGTGTTGGCCATCTCCTGTTTGGCATGAGGCCTGCCACCATAGTCTTAGTTTTCAAATTTTGCATTTCACCTGTTAGAATAGATTCTGCATGATTTTTTCTACTTCATCCCAAACCCTATTTCCTAGCTTTCTTTGTTCCTGCTTTTGCCTCTCTCTCTCTCTCTCTCTCTCTCTCTCTCTCTTTCTCTCTCTCTCTGCGCGCGCGCGCGTGCGCGCGCGTGTGTGTGTGTGTGTGTGTGTGTGTGTGTGTGTGTCTGTGAACCATATGCATTCCATGCCTACCAACAGAGGTTAGGAAAGGGTGTCGGATTCCTCTGGAACTATGTCATTGTGAGCCTCTGTCTGGTTAATGGGAACCAATCTGAGGTTCTCTGCAAGAGAAACCAGTGCTCTTAACAGCTGAGCTATCTCTCTAGCCCCGATCCTTCAATTTATAAAAAATGTCAAATGTGTAAGAAAAAAACAGAATAATACCGTGAACTCCCACAACTTACAAACACACACACACACACAGATATTTTTCTGTAACATTTAAAATTAAGTGCCACTATGTCATCTTGACACTAAGTACTTCAGCCTGTATCTCTTAAGAAAAAGGACAAACTTTTACATGCACACACTATTATTATATTTCAGAAAGCTAACAGTAATCCACAATACCGTCTAACATCTAGTTTATATTCATATTTTTCCAATTATTCTAGCAATTTCTTTTATAGCTTTTTAAAAACCAAAATGCAATCTTGGTTTATGCAGTATAGCATGTGTGTATGTATATGTATGTGTGTATATACATATATTAATATATATGCTAATATTTCTGTAGTACCTTTCATGTAGTATATAGCCTGTGTGTATGTATATGTGTATATGTATATATTCATATATATGCTAAGGTTTCTGTAGTACCTTTCATGTAGTGTATAGCATGTGTGTATGTATATGTGTATATGCATATATTCATATATATGCTAAGGTTTCTGTAGTACCTTTCATGTAGTATATAGCATGTTTATATGTATATCCTTCATAGTAGAGCAAGTCTCTATTTTTTCTTTATTGTCATTTGCCTTTTAAGAGTCTAGTTTAGTTGTCCAGGCAATGGTCTCTTAATTCCTAAATTTAGCCATTTCTTCTTTGGTATTTTTAACTTATCCTTGTATACCCTCTCTTTACTCTTGTTTTCCTATCAATTAGACCATGGCTTATTTTATCAAAGTCAGTGGCAGCATTATAGTACCTGACCATAATTTTTTTCATATTCTGGAAGTGACTAGGAGGTTCAGCAAGCTTTAAAAGGTCTTACTGTATAGAAAGGATATTATCAGGCAATTTGACCACATCCGTAAGTAGAAAGTACACAAAATCATTAGATTAATCAGCATCTCTGTAAGGGGCCCTCTTTGCTCTTTCAGGACATTATTGACTCAGGGTTAAAGAAATAGAACCTTAGTCATTTGTAATTACATAATGACTTTTTATTAAATTATACATCCATGATCATCATTTGTTCTTTGTGAAAGTTCTTATTTTGTAGGCTTTAGGGCTCTCATTCTTTCCACAGGTTATTGCATTTCAGTATTATTAAATTACTGTTATCTCATCAATAAGGAAGTTCTCCATTTTGTGAGGCAGTAAACAGGAATCTAAACTCACCACTTCCCTCTCTGAACACCTTTCCGCCTACTTTGACCCTGAAATACTTCTTTAGGTCTCATGTTCACTCATGCTTTTCTGGACCCAGCGGGATATTTCAAACCCATGAGACAGTACCCTTAATACTGGTACATGTCCTGTATTGTATTGTGTGCTATAAATTCACAGGGAAGCCAAAAATGAGTTCAGCGCATGTGATTTGTTTCCATGTACTGTTTCAGGGAGATACATATGTTACTTTATTCTTCCAACCATATTCAATATTAGAGATTCTACAACTCCTAGGATAGTTGGGATTAAGTAAAGAGGAAACAGATGAGAATTATTTGCTGTTGTAATTATTTTTATTCTTTCTCAAAACAAAGATCCATTTTTCTAATTTATTAACTAACTTGTTAACCTGCAAATAATCATCAATATTTATTACATGCTGGCTGTAAAGTAGTATGGAGATTATGTGAGTTTCTGTAATTTAGTGGTCATGAAAGTATCTTGCATGCAAAATATAGCTAAATCCTAAGTTATGGTTAGTAGATAGTTTTGTTGGAGATAATTTGAACATTAGTGGTCCATACTGGCTACTGTTCACTCTGTTTGGGTAAGTCGACACTTTGGGAAATGATGTAAAGTGAATGTTATGGAGGTTGTAATTTGTATTCACTGTAGATTCCTTTTCTACACAGTTGCTCAAGCCCTTGTGTGCTATAAAAGCTTATCGATTCACCAGGAAATCTCTGCAAAATCAATCTCAGAATCGGCCTATTTTTGTCTTAATGGATATTTGATGCTTGTAACATTAACATGATCTAGAAATATGTTCAGTACATATGAATAACGTACATTAGAAAAGTGATTTGAAGTTGACCACAGACATATTTCCACTCAAATCAGAGCACTTAAGAAACAAACATGTGGGGGCTGGAGAGATGGCTCAGAGGTTAGAGCACTGCCTTCTCAGCCAGAGGACCCGGGTTCAATTCCCAGCACCGACATGGCGGCTCACAACTGTCTGTAACTCCAAGCCTAACAACCTCATACATACATGCAGGTAAAAACACCAATGCACATTAAATAAATAAAAAGAAAAGAACAAACCCCAGTCTGTGAAAAGGTACCCCATAGCCTAGTTGAGAAGCAAACATGTATTTAGGTATAAGCTGAATAGAGTGTTCTAGAAGTAAGGAGCACCTTGAATAAAGGATGCAAAGTAAGAGAAAAGTGACCATGAGTGGGAAATACTAAGATTTCCCCGGAGGGTGAAGGGTCAGATTATGATACATGAAACTGGTTCTGTAGAATAGGGGTAGGCAATGGTCCCAAAATAAAGAGATGCACTTATGCTTGAGCCAGAGATTATCTCCAACCTTCTTCAGGAGACTTTGAGGACTAGTACAAGGTTGAAAATTGACATATTGGAAGGAACCTTTTGGTTTTGCATATAGAATGAGCTAATGGAAAGAAGGCCAGGCTTGATGTGCCAGAACTGGTTAAGGGTTTTGGTTGCAAGTACAGACACGAAAAAGATGAAAGATGGGTGGAGAACATACCAGTGAGGAGAAGAATATAAAGTCTGAGATAGGAGCTTGGTGATTTGTTCAGGACCTGTATTCTCTTCACCCTGGGTTTTCTTTATCTTGCTGATCTAATTGCTCCTTTCTTGTCCTGTTACTTGTATGACTGGTTTCTTCTATATATTTCATATGAACTATTTCTTTGAGAACTTCAGTTTCCATTTAGTTATTCTTAAATTGGAACCTTCTAGTTGAGCCTGGTGGCACACACCTTTTATCCAGTCGCTTGGAAGACTGGAGGCAGGAGGATCACAAGATCAAGTCTAGCTTGAGAAATTTAACAGGCCTTGTCTCCACGTAAGGAGTTACAAGTGGGTGAGGGAGCTGGAGATGTGGCTTAGTGGAGATGCAATTCTTTCCTAACATTCCACAGGCCCTGGATTCAATCCCCAGTACTGTCAGTCTGAATCTTCAATTTGCAAAACAAAAACAGAAACCCTCTTTTATATTGTTTTAGCTACATTCACTACCGAGAACGTTCTTCTTAGGGTAAATGTTGGACTTAGGAATGATTTGCATTGCATTGGTTACGTGTCATGTCACCCCAGGGAAACAAATCCTGAAGTGGGCTCCTGTTCAGAATGAGATCAACAGAGCCTTTACCAAAGAGAATATTTGTGCCCTTTCAAGTCCACTGAACTACAGAATGAGTGACCTTTTATTAGTAGAGATTAACTGATGTTTCTAGTTTCAAAATTCAGGCTAGTGTTGGATTAAGTGTAATTTACATTTGTTGTCTTTATGCCTACACCCAGAGAAGTAAACTCACTATCTATTTTCCTTTTTACACTTTCAAGTGTGTGTGATGTGCACTGTGTATATGCATATTCAGGTGTGTGCATGTGTGTACTCATGCATGTGAAGCCCCTAGCTTGATGTTGGGGATCATTCTCCATCTGTCTCACACCTTATTTGTGGAGGCAAAGTTTCTCAGTCAAACACAGATCTCAATGATTTAGCTAGTCTTTCTAGCCAGCTTCTGAAGATCTCACATCTCCCCTAGGCTAGGATTACAGGTGGGCCACCACACCTACCTGGCATTTGAGTGGGTTCTGGGGGGCCAAACTCCATCACACTTATATAGCAGATGCTCTAACCACTGAGCCACCATCCTAGCTACCACAGAAATCAACTTTTCTTTTCTTTTTTTTTTTTTTTTTTTGGTTTTTCGAGACAGGGTTTCTCGGTGGTTTTGGAGCCTGTCCTGGAACTAGCTCTTGTAGACCAGGCTGGTCTCGAACTCACAGAGATCCACCTGCCTCTGCCTCCCGCGTGCTGGGATTAAAGGCGTATGCCACCACCACCCGGCTTGAAATCAACTTTTCATGTAAATTTGCTGCCTCTCCAGTTGCATTTTATCAATCAGTTTTATTCTTTTAGAGTTTTCTCTTTTATCCATTCCTCATGTTTGTGGTATTGTGGTATTCATGCTAGATAATCGTTCTACCACTAAGAAACACTGCCTGGCCACTATTTTAAAATATGTTTTCTCTATTCTAGTTTTTTTTAAATAAATTTCTCTCTCCCTCTCTGTCTCTCTGTTTCTCTCTGTCTCTCTCTGTCTCTCTTTGTCTGTGTGTGTGTGTGTGTCTGTCTGTGTGTATGTGTGTGTGTGTGTCTGTCTGTGTGTATGTGTGTGTGTGTCTGTCTGTCTGTGTGTGTGTGTGTCTGTGTGTGTGTGTGTGTGTCTGTGTGTGTGTGTCTGTGTGTGTACGTGTACTTGGACAGACATGCATGTGCCACAGCACATGTGTGTTGAACAGGACAGCTCTTGGGAGCTGGTTCTCTCCTGGCTTGTAGGATCCAGTATACTTGCACCTCCATCAAGTGAGCCTTCTCCTAGGCCCCATATTAGTAAATAAGTTGATTCACTGACTGATTTAGCTTGTGTTTTCACTCCAAGGCACACTTGTAGAGGTCAGAGGACAGTGTTGTGGAGCTGCTTTCTTTTCTTCTCCCGTGTGAGTTCCAGAGATTTAAGTCATCAAGCTTAGTGGAAAACACCATTATGTGCTGAGCTCTTTCATGGGCCCCCATATTAGTGTTTGTTTGTTTGGTTGGTTGGTTGGTTGGTTGGTTGGTTTGGTTTGGTTTGGCTTTTTGAGACAGAGTTTCTCTGTGTAGCCTTGCCTGTCCTGGAACTCTCTCTGTAGACCAAGTTGGCCTCAAACTCACAGACGTTCACCTGCCTCTACCTCCCAAGTGCTGGGACTGAATGTGTCCACCACCACTGCCTGCCCCCCTGTTAGTTTTAAGGTGTTTCTTTTCTCCCTCTTGGCCTATGCTAATAGTCATTTAATGTTTCCTTTTGTTCCTGCACTTCATGTTTTCCCATTCAGGTCTACCAGCCTGAACGTTCTGTAATACTACTCCCGCTGGGGGCAATGGTTTTCCTTGCCCAAAGGTAGTGAGTGGCTCCCACAGGCCTGTTAGAGACAATCCAGATTCGTTAAGCTGTCATTCAGTGTCACCTTTTGGCTTTTGACATTTTTTTCAACATTGTCTAGTTAGGTTATGCTCCCTACAAACAAGATGAATAAGTTCTTCTTAGTTACCTTGTCATTTAACTTTTCTGTGCATTTGTTTCTTTCTGCCTCTTCCACCTTTTCTTTAAGCATGGATCTTGCTATGTTTTCCAGACTGGCCCTGAACTCCTGTGTCCATATGAACTTCTTTAGTAACCGTCATAACAGGCCTACACCACTGGGCCTGGCTTACTTCCACATTAGTTCCCTTCATCCAAATCCTGTGACTTAAGGGCTTAGATGTGGCTCAGTAGGAGAAAGTTTCTACAGCATGTACACAGCTCTGGGCCCTAACACCAGCTGACAAAAAAAATCCTGGGTTTATTATTTTTTTAAAGAACAAGTGGCCATGTATTGCGAACTTGTACATATGAGTTATAAGAATATTAGTTGTAAATTATGAGACTAAGGAGGACTGGTCAGAATTGTAAAGCAGGGACCAACCACATCTTTCTCTTCTCTGTGTCCTTACTTGTCACTGTCCTCCTTAGAAGGTATTTCACATAGCCCTTTATACTGATAGATGCTCACCACTCAAAGGGAACTACTTTCAGGGCCTACAGTGACACAAAATCCTTGCTTCATTTTGCTTGGTATATCGTGTGTCACGTCAGATTTGTTTGTCAGATTTATTAACGAGTGTTTCTAAACTTAATATTAGAGTACAAATTTTTGTTAAGTTGGATGGCTGGCACTGAGAATCAACTTCACATTTAGAAATATCATAATGATAGAACAATATGGACCTTATACATACTATTATTAGGACTCTGACTACTTTATTTCACATGGTATTTAAAAGTTTAGGTAAATGCAGAAAAGCATGTTAAATTCAAAAGTATCTAACAATATCTAACAATATTAAGACCCCTAATTGCCATATTAACAACTCAGGATAATAGGTTCAGGATTATCACTTGCAATCTCCAGGAAATAAATGCTCACTCCCGCTCCAGACACCTTTGCTTCTCTGACAGCAAGTCTTAGATTTCTCCTTACACCCACCAGACCTGAGATGTGATTTAGCCTTGATTTTCTCCGTGGTCTACAATGGGATCAGGAAGAATCCAGTTGAGAGTCTCTGGGGCAGTGTACCCCATTTCCTCCTAACTTTAAACTGCTTCACTATCCCTATGTAGAAAATACTTTACCTGCTTCAGAGATGAAGGCGCTGAGACAAGATGAAGTGTGGTAAATTGCCTGAGAAATCAGTAGGAGGCAGAAGGAAGATTTGTACCAAGGCCTGTCTCACATCTGGGCTGATACTCTTTGCATTAACCTTGCTGCCTTGCGAATAGCATTTATCACTGTTCTTAGCTGATTCTAGAAATATTCCCACAGGTTTCCCCTGCCTCTCTATCTGGGAAGCGCTTGTGTTGTCCTTTCTGAATTGTCTACCTGAGTAGGGTGATAATGAATGGGGTTAGTCAGACCTGGGTTCCAATCTTGACTCTGTCACTTATTACCTGTGTGTGACCTTGGGCAAATAATTTAACCTCCAAAGCCTCAGTTTCTTCATCTGTAAAACAGGACTAATGTTTCATAATGATGTGCAGATAAAGTGACATCATATATAAACCCTTGGCATGGCTGCTGGTACCTGGTAGATATTCCTTAAGTGGTGGTGATCATTGCTGCTGCTCTCGCTTCCATTGGGTTGTAGTGAGTGCAGAAATAACAAGGAAGAGAAAAGGTGCTGTTTCCTCTGCTTCTTGTCTTTTATGTCCACTAGGAAAATCAAGGAACTGATGGATACTCTGATCCACAAAGCTCTGAGATAAAATCCATGTACATTTTAGTAGGCCCTTCAAATCTGGGGAGTCTATAGGCCTTTGAGGAGGCGGGTGGGTACAAGAGAAGGTAAAAACTCTTGGAGACTCCAGGCACTAGATGAGATGAGAAGAGCGATAGAAAGGAGTAGCTCATCACCTGTTTCTGAGTGTCTGCTCTCAGACCAGCATTAGGATGAGGTAAGAACTGCACATGACAACAGATGTACAGGAAGCCGCAGCACCAGGCTTGACTCGACTCTCAGGCAGCTTCCCGGGGTCAGAAAAGTCAAGGCTTATAGAAGGATGGTTTTTGAATGATCATCCCAGGGAACTGTATAATAATATACTATGCATGACAAAGAACTTTGCATGTGGAAAACGTGTTCTATTTTCAGTGCTTGTCATTTGAAGGGTTCAGAGCTTTTAAAAGCCCATGTCTAGCAAGCTAGCAAGATCTAATACTGAGCTGTTTCTAATGCTGTGAATTAACTCTAATCATTGTCTATCTGCCAATGACTTTTCTCCTGCTCTGCTCTCAGGAAGAAGACAGCTTCCTAGAAAAGGTAATTCAATTCATTGGTGGTAATGAAGGCTTCCTTGGGCTTGATTAACACTTAACTGTGGTCCCTGGAACTTGCCCCTAAGCATTCTCATATCAGAGGCCTCTGACTTGGTGAGAATTCCCTAATAAGCCCTGATGTCCCGCCACGTGTCTTGAAGTACACTCAAAATTCAGGAATGATATTTATCCATCTGACAAGTTGTTGATACTGTTTATAAAAGGAATAAAACTCAAGATATAGATTTTATTAAGATGGACTCTCATGTATTACAGGCTAGCCTCAAGCTCATCATGTAGCAAAAGTGACCTTGCTGTTTGATCCTCCTGCCTCCACCTCCCCAGTGCTGGGATTATAGCACTCCTGGTTTTATGCAGTCCTGAGACTCAAACTTGGGCCTTATAGTAGATGGTAGATAAGCATTGAATTGAGCTACGCTCTAGGCACCTAGTGCCTTACATATGCTACACAAATGTACCACCATTGAGCTCTACCCCAGCTGCACTTGCATTTCTTAATTTCCAGACAAGTGCTGGACCATGAAGCTACATCTCTAGCCCAGATTTCCAGATTTGTCTCTGAAATATCTTATCTGAAAACTCATGAGTTGGAGGGTACTGTTTAGCTGCCCCTGCTTCCAATAATAGTAACACCAACAAATGTTATTCCTGTAGCATTAATAGTGATTTGGAAGCTGGGGAGATAGCCCTGTCAATAAAGTACTTGTCGAGTTTCTGGCCCACGGCGCCAGCCTGGGACGGGGAGCTCGGGGGTTTCTTGGCCCCCTGTCCTGCTTGGGCTCTCTGCTGCCTCTTTCTTCCTGGCCCACCCAGCTTCCGTCCAGAGCCCTCCCCACTTCGCCCCCACTGCCCTCTTTTGGCGCGTGGCATCGCCCAGCGCAGCCTATCTGGGCGCTGGGTCCGAGTACCCGGGGCTCCCGGGCGGGCAGCAGTTCCTTTGTTTCTGTGGCCTGCCTGCACCAAGCGGGGTAGGCGCTTTGTCTGCGAGCTGCCCAACCAGCACGGAGGCCTGATCTTTCGGCGCCAGGAGACCCAGCATTGGGGTGAGTTTCTGGCCCACGGCGCCAGCCTGGGACGGGGAGCTCGGGGGTTTCTTGGCCCCCTGTCCTGCTTGGGCTCTCTGCAGGGCCTCTACTCCCCGGGTGCTGCCTCTTTCTTCCTGGCCCACCCAGCTTCCGTCCAGAGCCCTCCCCACTTCGCCCCCACTGCCCTCTTTAGGCGCGTGGCATCGCCCAGCCCAGCCTATCTGGGCGCTGGGTCCGAGTATCCGGGGCTCCCGGGCGGGCAGCAGTTCCTTTGTTTCTGTGGCCTGCCTGCACCAAGCGGGGTAGGCGCTTTGTCTGCTAGCTGCCCAACCAGCACGGAGGCCTGATCTTTCGGCGCCAGGAGACCCAGCATTGGGAGAGCCAACATTGGGGAGAGACAGCGTTTGGTAGGCAAGGAGACCTAATCCGGTAAAAGAAGATCCATAGGGAGCATTTGGAAGAAGAGATGGGCCGACGTCAAGGCAAGAATTCGCCCAACAAGCTGAAGAGCAACATGAAGCTACCAGAAACAAGCGACCTCACAACGGGAGGACAAGAACCCCTTAATCAAGAGGAAGGAGAAAAGATTGACTTCATGAAAGTGATTGACACCCTTAAACAGCATGTAAAAAACGCCCTTATAGAAATGGATGAGAAATATAACAGAAAGTTTGAAGAATTGAATAAATCAGTGAATGATACCCTAGAAAACCAAGGAAAAACAATCAAACAGATAATGGAAACAGTTCAAGACCTGAAAACTGAAATGGAGGCAAAGAAGAAAACACAAACAGAGGGCCGTCTGGACATGGAAAATCTAGGTAAACGAATAGAGACTACAGAAACAAGCATAACCAGCAGAATACAAGAGATAGAAGAAAGACTCTCGGATTCTGAAGATACCATAGAGAAAATAAACACACTGATCAAAGAAAACAGCAAGTCCAACAAACTCTCATCACAAAACATTCAGGAAATATGGGACACAATAAAAAGACCAAATCTAAGAATAATAGGAGTAGAAGAAGGAGAAGAAGGGCAGCTCAATGGTCCAGAAAATCTATTTAATAAAATTATAGAAGAAAACTTTCCCAACCTAAGGAAAGATTTTCCTATGAAGGTGCAAGAAGCATACAGAACACCGAATAGGCTGGATCAAAAAAAAAAACATCCCCTCGCCATATAATTATCAAAACACAAAGCATACAGAATAAGGAAAGAATATTAAGAGCTGCAAAGGAAAAAGGCCAAATTACTTATAAAGGTAAACCTATCAGACTTACACCTGACTTCTCCATGGAAACCATGAAAGCCAGAAGGTCCTGGATAGATGTACTGCAGAAACTGAGAGACCATGGGTGCAAGCCCAGATTACTATACCCAGCCAAGCTTTCATTCACTATAAATGGAGAAAATAAAATTTTCCAGGATAAAAACAAATTTAAACAATACGCAGCCACAAATCCAGCCTTACAGAAAGTAATTGAAGGAAAATCACTAACCAAGGAGTCCAACAATGACCACAATAACTCAGACATCTAGAGACCCTTCACCAACACAAAACAAAGAAGGGAAACATACAAACTCTACGACTAAAAAAAAATGACCGGAGTTAACAACCACTGGTCATTAATATCACTTAATGTCAATGGACTCAACTCACCTATAAAAAGGCACAGGCTAAGAGATTGGATAAGAAAACAGGATCCAACATTCTGCTGTTTACAAGAAACACACCTCAACCACAAAGACAGGCACCTACTCAGAGTAAAGGGCTGGGAAAAGGCCTATCAAGCAAATGGACCTAAGAAACAGGCAGGTGTGGCCATACTAATCTCTAACAAAGTTGACTTTAAACTTAAATCAATCAGAAGAGATGGAGAGGGGCATTTTATACTCATAACAGGAACAGTTCATCAGGATGAAGTCTCAATCCTGAACATCTATGCCCCTAATATAAAAGCACCCACGTACATAAAAGAAACATTGCTAAAATTCAAGGCAGCCATCAAACCGCACACACTAATAGTAGGAGACTTCAACACTCCTCTCTCACCAATGGACAGGTCAATCAGACAGGAACCTAACAGAGAAATAAGAGAATTAGTGGAGGTAATGAATCAAATGGACTTAACAGACATCTATAGAACATTCCATCCAAATAGGAAAGAATATACCTTCTTCTCTGCAGCTCATGGAACCTTCTCGAAAATCGACCACATAGTCGGTAACAAAGCAAACATCCACAGTTACAAAAAAATATTAGTAACCACCTGTGTCTTATCAGATCACCATGGATTAAAGTTAGAATTCAACAATAATGCTACCCCCAGAAAGCATACAAAGTCATGGAAACTGAACAGTCAACTATTGAACCATAGCTGGATTAAGGAAGAAATAAAGAAAGAAATTAAAGTCTTCCTGGAATTCAATGAAAATAAAGAAACAACATACTCAAACTTATGGGACACTATGAAAGCAGTCCTAAGAGGAAAGTTCATAGCACTAAGTGCCCACTTAAAGAAAACAGAGAAAGCTCACATTGGAGACTTAACAGCCCACCTGAAAGCTCTAGAAAAAAAAGAAGCAGACTCACCTAGGAGGAGTAGAAGACTGGAAATAATCAAAATGAGGGCTGAAATCAACAAAATAGAAACACAGAAAACAATACAAAAAATCAATGAAACAAAAAGCTGGTTCCTGGAGAAAATCAACAAGATTGACAAACCACTATCCAAGCTAATCAAACGGCAGAGAGAGAATTTGCAAATTAATAAGATCAGAAATGAAAAGGGGGACATAACCACAGACACAGAGGAAATTCAGAGAATCATTAGATCTTACTACAAAAGCCTATATGCCACAAAATTGGAAAATGTAAAGGAAATGGATACTTTTTTAGATAAATATCATATACCAAAGTTAAATCAGGACCTGGTGAACAATCTAAATAGACCTGTTAGTCGCGAAGAATTAGAAGAGGTTATCAAAAACCTCCCTACCAAAAAAAGCCCAGGACCAGATGGTTTCAATGCGGAATTCTACCAGATCTTCCAAGAAGATCTAATACCTATACTCCTTAATGTATTCCACAAGATAGAAACAGAAGGGTCATTACCAAACTCCTTTTATGAAGCCACAATTACTCTGATACCAAAACCACTCAAAGACTCAACCAGGAAAGAGAACTACAGGCCAATCTCACTCATGAATATCGACGCAAAAATCCTCAACAAAATACTGGCAAATCGAATCCAAGAACACATCCGAAAAATTATCCATTATGATCAAGTAGGCTTCATTCCTGAGATGCAGGGCTGGTTCAACATACGAAAATCTATCAATGTAATCCAGCATATAAATAAACTGAAAGAAAAAAACCATATGATCATTTCATTAGATGCTGAAAAAGCATTTGACAAAATTCAACATCCATTTATGTTAAAAGTCTTGGAGAGATTAGGGATACAAGGGTCATACCTAAATATAATAAAAGCTATATACAGCAAGCCGACAGCTAACATCAAATTAAACGGAGAGAAACTCAAAGCCATCCCACTTAACTCAGGAACACGACAAGGCTGTCCACTCTCCCCATACCTCTTCAATATAGTGCTTGAAGTTCTAGCAATAGCAATAAGACAACATAATGGAATCAAGGGGATTCGAATTGGAAAGGAAGAAGTTAAACTTTCGTTATTTGCAGATGATATGATAGTGTACATAAGCGACCCCAAAAACTCCACCAAAGAACTCCTACAGCTGATAAACAGCTTTAGTAATGTGGCAGGATACAAGATCAACTCCAAAAAATCAGTCGCCCTCTTATACACAAAGGATATGGAAGCAGAGAGGGAAATCAGAGAAGCTTCACCATTCACAATAGCCAAAAACAGCATAAAATATCTTGGGGTACATCTAACCAAGGAAGTGAAAGATCTATTTGACAAGAACTTTA